TCAAGGGCTGGGCATGTGGCTCACATTGTAGGAGCCCTAACCTAGCTTAAGGCCCTTGGTTCATTTCCCAGAAGAGGAAAGAAGGAAGGAAGAAAGGAAGGAAGGAAGGGAGGGAAGAAGGAAGGAAGGAAGAAAAGAAGGAAGGAAGGGGGAAGGGAGGAAAAGAAAAAGCAATTGCCAATTAAAAATCTAAAAATATGGCTTCCTGCTGGGAATGTGGCTTAGTGGTAGAGTGCTTGCCTATAATCCTACGACTCAGGAGGCTGATATCTGAGGATCACAGTACAAAGCCAGCCTGGGCAGCAGTCTGGGATTTATTTCCAATTAATCATAGAAAAAGCTAGAGGGCTGGCAATGGGGCTTAGTGATAAGAGTGATTGCCTAGCATGCAATTCCTCAATTCAATTCCTCAGTACTATATAAACAGAAAAAGCCTGAAGTGGTGTTGTGGTTCAAGTGATAGACTGCTAGCCTTGAGAAAAAGAAGCTCAGGGACCAGTGCCTAGGCCCTGAGTTCAGAACCCAGGAAAGAAAGAAAGGAAGAAAGAAAGAAAGGAAGAAAGAAAGAAAGAAAGAAGGAAAGAAAGAAGGAAAGAAAGAAAGAAAGAGCAAAAGCTGGAAGTGGTGCTGTAGCTAAAGTGGTAGAGTGCTACCCGTGATAAAAAGGAGCTTAAGGATAGCACCCAGGCCCAGAGTTAAAAAAAAAAACAAAATACACACACAAGAAGAGTACAACTAATAGAATACTGATACTAGTGCACTAGTATAATAATACATTGTAGTATATAAATATTATAAATAATAACACTACTAGTATGTTGAAGCTGGTAGTATTTATAACTGCTAATAATATCTATTAATGCTATGAATAATATAGTAGTCCTTTGCTTTCCCATGCTTAACATGATGCATTTCTTCTTGTGCATTTGCACAGTCAGGAGACCTCTGTTACCAACACTTCATTGTTTAGTCCCTTGTGAAAGCACTCAGGATAGGTCTTTAGACATCTTCCTCTTGTTAATACCCATCACCCTTTCACCTTGTCAAGGATAATAAGAACTTTAATCTGTTCTTCCAAGGTGTTAGCTTTCTAAGGATCACTAACAAGTTTCATAAGCTTAATATGCTTGGTCACTCAGTCTTTTTTTTTTTTTTGAAGCAGATTCTACTTCATATGTAATAAGGATGAAAATATTTATACTTCAGGGTCCGATCAGAATAGAAACTTAATTTAAAAAAAAAATTGAATAAATTAAAGAAATGACACAGAGCTCAGAATAATGGACTAAAACTATTCATTGAGTAAGTAATTCAAGTAGTTGGTTACTTTGGACAAATCCAAAATTCTCAGTAATGATCTCAAAGGGCTCATCACCAAGAGGTTTGAAAGCAAGACTAGCATTCTGGCACCCCAAATTCCCTAGGCAGGAATGCAAGGGAAGGAAGGCTGGTGATTGGCTGAGGAAAGAAGTGCTAAAGGAGCTGGCTGCAGTGTAAGAAGGCCAAGTACAGAGCATGTGTCCAGGAGATAAGTCTCCATTCTCTCAAGCCCTGTTACTTGGAAAACCTGTCAGAACCTGGCTTGTGATTCTGGTGTATGGATGAAAAAGGGAACATAATGTCAAACAATGAGTGTCTTTGTCAGGACTATAGGGTAAAAGTTCTGTTTACCATATTTAAAAACAGACAAACAAGAAAACCATGTTTCAGGTAACTAAGTTCTCAAGGTCTGTCTGCTGTCAAATCTTCTTGTGACTGGAAAGAAACCTAAAGTTGTACTGGAGATAGAGACAGAGACAGGGGATGGGACAGGGAGTGGGGGGTGGGGTGGGAGAAGAGGGGTCAAGGGAGGGAGAGAGACAGCATAACTAGGAAATGATGAGAGCTCTGCAAAAATAAAGACTAAAAAGAGGGCTGGAAATGTGGCTTAGTGTAAACTGCTTGCCTAGCACACATGAAGCCCTGGGTTTGATTCCTCAGTACCACATAAAAACAGAAAAATCTGGAAGTGGCTCAAATGGTAGAGTGCTAGCCTTGAGCAAAAGAAGCCCCACAATAGTACCCGGGCCCTGAGTTCAAGCTGCAGGACTGGCAAAAAAAAACAAAAAACAAAACCAAAAGACCAAAAAGCCAAAAACCTAAAGCCAAACACATTTCAGGCCTGGTGCTGGTGGCTCATGCCAGTAATCCTAGCTAGTCAAGACGCTAAGATCTGAGGATTGCAGTTCAAAGCCAGCTCTGGCAGGAAAGTCCATGAGATTCTAATCTCCAAACTACCAGGAAACTAGAAGTGAGCTGTGGCTCAAAGTGGGAAAGTGCTAGCTTTGAGCAGAAAGAGGCTCTGGGACAGTTGGCCAGACCTAGGGCTAACAAACAAAACAAAAGACAAAAATAAAGAAAATGAGGTGGAATAAGTTCATATCCAAAATGAGTATTTGTTGATCTAATGACATACTGTTAAAGTAAGAACAACAACAAAGCAGCTTATAAGAGAATGCATGCAATATAACCTAATCACTACTTTTACAAATACTTTACCTTAAAAAAAGATACATGGACCAAAGCTAAGGTTATTATAGACAAATGTCAACATATATCTAAGTATGAAATGTACTTTTTAATCTTTTTTTGTCAGTCATGGGACTTGAACGCAGGGCCTGGGCCCTTTCTCTAGCTCTTTAGCTCAAGGCTACTATTCTACCACTTTGAGCCACAGCACCACTTCACCACTTTCTGTTTACTGGTAGTAACTGGAGATGAGTCTCACAAGCCAGGTGTCAGTGGCTCATGCCTGTAATCCTAGCTACTCAAGAGGCTGAGATCTGAGGATCGAGGTTCAAAGCCAGCCCTGGCAGAAAAGTCCGTGAAACTGTTATCTCCAATAAAACACCAGAAAACCGGAAGTGGTGCTGTACCTCAAGTGGTAGACCGCTTGCCTTGAGCTGAAGAGCTGAGGGACAGTGCACAGGCCCAGAGTTCAAGCCCCACGACCGACCAAAAAAAAATAAAAATAAAAGAGTCTCACAGACTTTCCTGTCCAGGCTGGCTTTGAATCAAGATCCTCAGATTTCAGCCTCCTGAGTAGCTAGGATTATAGGTGTAAACCACCAACAATGGCAAGTTTTATCTTCTAGTTATGCAGATGTATTTCTATGGATTCAAGCAAAAAGCATGTATTATTTGTGTGGTGGTTAAGAAGTACATAAGAGGGGGGGACTTCCCATCACTTTGCTGGAAAAAGCATTAAAAGAAATGAAGAAGGTATTTGCTTCCATACTTATTAATTTACCCAGTCTTCTTACTAGGAATCTCCAATTTGGGGAATGAGAAGGAACTGACTTTTTGTAACATCTGAATACAGGACACTCATAATTGCAAAGTGACATATGTTCATCATTAGTTTTTTATAGTCATTGTGCAGATTAAGATGTTAGCCTAGGGCTGGGAAGGTGGCTCAGTGGTAGAGCACTTGCCTTGCATGCATGAGGCCCTGGGTTCGATTCCTCAGCACCACATAAGCAAAAAGAGAAAAGCCGGAAGTGGCGCTGTGGCTCAAGTGGTAGAGCACTAGCCTTGAGCTGAAGAGCTGAGGGACAGTGTCCAGGCCCAGAGTTCAGGCCCCACGACCGGACCCCAAAAAAAAGATGTTAGCCTAGTACCTGTCACACTCTAGAATGTATTTTTAACAAATTCATAGTCTAGAGAAAAATATAAAGTATTCTTCTGGGGGCATCTTTTAGAAAGAATAAAACATTTTTATGATAATTTTAAACCTAGGATTATAAACTAATTTTTAAACTAAATGCTGTGCTAATAATATCTACTATTATTAGCATTCAAAATACACAGCTTGAAAATGACAAGAAACGTGGTCTTGACTGGCCTAACTAATGGCCTGTATAATTACACCATGAAGCTCTGCTTTTGCAGTCAAATGTATTTAAAAGCATTAGAAAATACATAGTCAATACATAAAGAATGAAACACATAGCAGTGACAGAATTTAACCTTTCCACATATGCTTGAAGTGACTCAAGGCATTTATTTTCTAATTCTAAGTACTACTTATAAGCAATAATACTATAAATTCCAAATCCACGCCATTCAATGTCCTCAACTTTTTTCCATTCCATCTAGAAATTTCCATGTATATCAACTGGCTTCTTCTACCTGTTGTTTTTTTTTTTTTTTTCCAGGTTACCCACCTCTCCCTAGCAAATGTTTTCTTAATTCTTTAGCCTGTGGCCTGCTCATTTCATTAACTTGCCCCTGTCATTTTCTTAAATCTTCAGGTGCTCTCTGTATCTACCTTTCCTTCAGGCCTATGGTACACTCCAGGCACCCTTTGTTGAGGAGTGAAGGAGACCTTTCCAGGAAGAAAGATAACTCTGCAACTAGTAAGCTCACTAACTCCAACCTCCTTATCTCTAAACGCAACAGGTATCTCTTTGGGTTGTACTTTCTAGAACTTCTATGCCACACCTCCTTGAAAGGCTCTGATTTCTTGATTTGTGTGGGACCACAGTTGTCCACCTCCTCTACTGGCTTCTCCTCCTCCTCCTCCTACCTGCTCACATGGGCATCTGTGCTGGGCGGCTTCTCTCTGCACTTTCTCCTGTCCATCTCATTCTCTCCTGTGCACTTAGCTCTCCCCCAAGCTGTTAATGCCCTCAATAAATCTCTTACAAGCTGCTTTTCTTCTTTCTCATAGAGGCTGTCCTAGTTCATAGAACCTCATCACCAGTCCAAATTCTCATTCCCAATCTCTTTTTTCCTTGAAGTTATTCTATAAGCTATCCATGGAATAGTCTTTCAAAGGCTCTGATTGCATCCCTTCTATTCAAATACCTTAAGTGGCTCCCCACTATTTCCTGTTCAAAATCTTGGTATGTGATTCAAAGGCCTTTGATTTGCAACTGTCCTAAGTATACTAGTTTTGTTTTCCATGTCTGAACTAGGCTGGAAAAACAAAACAAAACATTGATTACATCCTACCATACCTGCTGAAGAACTGGCCAGCACTCAAGACTCAGCTCAAATTCCATTTCCCAGCTTGCCTCTCTCCATCATAAGCAATCTCTTCTTCATCCACAGAAAATAACTGACAACTTCTTGACAGGACTGGCACCCTTGGGCCTGTTTTTAAAGGACAGGGACACTTCTGAATTTCATTAACTGAATATGACTAGTAGTAGGAGTCTTATTTGTTCTCCATAGTGCTTTCAAGGTAGTAGGAAATTGGAGCTGCTTGTGAGGAATTAAAGACTACTCATCATACTCAGTACTGGAGGCTCATGCTTGCAATCCTAGCTAAGGAGGTGAAGATCTGAGGACCAGAGTTTGAAGCCAGCCTGAAACTCTTACCTACAATTAACCACCAAAAACCTGGAAGTGGATCTGTGGCTCAAGACTGAGTCCCAGAATTGAGCAGACCCAGTACCAGCTGGACTGTGTGTGTGTGTGTGTGTGTGTGTGTGTGTGTGTGTGTGCGCGCGCGCGCGCGCGCGCGCGCACGCACGCGTGCACGTGCGCACACACGTATTATTTTGTCATAAAGAATAAAATCATGTCATTCGTAGGAAAATGGATCAAACTAGATGTAATCATATTAAACTACATGAAACAAGTTTCTCTTTTGTAGAAAGCAGTATTTAAAAAGATGAAGGAGGGGTAGGAAGGGAGCTACTAGGGAATAGGATGCGGAGAACAAAGAGTATCTGGAAGAGGGTCACAATCAACTCACAACATATTCATGTATGGAAATGTCACAGTGGGGCCTGTTAGTATATGAAATTAGTATTCGCTAATTACCAACCACCCAAATGTTTACCTTAGTGAAGATACAGCAGTGAATAAGATACTACATACATTTTTGTTCATCAGTTTGCTAAAATAAAAGTCACCTGGGAATTTGCACTGAAACCAGTAAAGAGCTGTAACAGGAAAAGCTTCAAAGAGGATGTATCATTGGTACAGGGCCCTGAAGGTAATGTAAAAATCTGAATAATCAGAGAAATCTGGAGGATGGCTTTTTAGACCAAGTAAGTCATAGTAGCATAGAAAGCCTCAAATAAGTAGGATATGGCTGAGAGAGGCTGACTTTAGAATGACAGAAAGGATGGGTCCAGGAACACAGGAACTGAAGCTGGGTAAGTATGGGGATGCTCAAAGTCAGGAAGACGAAGCAAGATGTAATACAGATCTAGAAAATTCAAACACTAGAAATGTGTTCTCAAAGGCCATCATATACCAAGTATAATAAAAATAGTTGTATGGTTTGGTTTTCATCAGTTTACACAGACCTGTCTCCCCAATTTCACATCTGCATTGATAACACATCCCATGAAAGTTTGCTTGTTTAACAATCACTGTATGTTTTAAATTCATGAGTAAAATTACAGAGTATAGGCCTCTAGGATGTGGAGAGTAAAAATAGAAAAAAAAAAACTCTCCACATTCTTTTGGTTTTGTCTGTTTTTATGTTTTTTTGACACAGGGTTAAGCTATGTAGTACAGGCTGGCCTCAAAGTTACTATGTAATACCGATTGTCCTTGAACTTGTAATCACCCTGCCTCAGCCTCCAAATTCTGGAATTATATGCACACAACACTATGCTTTGCCTAAAAGCCTTTTCTGTACCCAAATATATATTATATATTGTCTGTTTTTACCAAAGCAAAAGACTAAAGACTAAAAGACTTGTAGCTGATCTAAAAACTGAAGACAGCTGGGCACCAGTGGCTCATGCCTGTAATCCTAGCTACTCAGGAGGCTGAGATCTGAGGATCGAGGGTCAAAGCTAGCAGGGGCAGGAAAGTCCGTGAGACTCTTATATCCAATAAGCCACCAGAAAACCGGAAGTGATGCTGTAGCTCAAGTAGTAGAGTGCTCGCCTTGAGCTGAAGAGCTGAGGGACAGAGCCCAGGCCCAGAGTTCAAGCTCCAGGACCAGAAAAAAAAAAAAAAAAGACTGAAGACAGAGTCCTAAGTTATGTGACAGGGGTCTGCTCAGAAGCAACAAACACATAAACACCACGAAAAGGAACTTAAATTAATTCTTTGTCATGTTGCTTTCCAGAATTTTATCAAATTGAGAAGCCAGGTGTGCTAGTGGCTCATGCCTATAATCCTAGCTACTCAAGAGGCTGAAAACCCGAAGTGTCGATGTGGCTCAAAGTGGTAGCGTACTAGTCTTGAGCAAAAAGAGCTCCAAGACCAAAAATAAATAATGAAATAAATGAAAAGAAAATCTGAGATGAAACAAAGAAAGAAATCTTACTAATGCAAAAGTTGCCTGACTAGACAATCATTCTGACTAATAATGTCAAAATGCACCGTACCTTGCACCCTTCCTCCTGTCAGCTTAGAATGGATGGCATATACAAAATTAGGATAATAAATAAGATCAATAGACCTCATTCACATGCCCCCATAGCACTTTCTAGGTACTTCTGTTACAGAACATGAATTCTCTTACCTAGACATGACTTTATGTATGAAACTGGAATACCCCAAAGTCATAAGGAAGAGTAAAACCACCAGTGGTCACTGTTTTCTTTCTTTCCATGCATAGCCAACCTTGGTTTACCATATAGTATCTCACTTAATCCTCCCAACATGAATGTCCAGTTTATAGCTGAAGGAACTCACATTTCAGAGAAGCTATGGGGTTTGTACTTGATCACAAAACTAGCAGGTGGCCGACAAGTTCTCTAACTTGATCTGCCTGCTCTTGTAAATCATTAGATTAGACTCCCTATTCTAAATCTATGGGACCAAATTCAAAAGTAAGAGATAGGTATTGGGTATGGTGGTACACACCTTGTAACCCCAGCATTTGAAAGGCTGAGCAGAAAACTGAGAGTTTGAGGCCGGCTTAGACTATACAGAGACACTGTCTCAGAAAACAAACACATAAACAAACAACAATAACAACAACAAAAACCCAATCTACATATATATGGAAGCTGGCTTTATTTCTTACTATGTAAGAGTTAGGGAGGGCATCAGGTGACAGATTCCTTCACTCTGAACTGAAAACTTCATACTGGGTTTGTGAAGGGTAGCAAGGCACAACTAGGAATTGGGAGTCTTACGGTCCTTTCAGCAGGACAACTTCTTTTACATCACAATCCAATGTATTGACAAGGTTGAAGTATTTTTCTTGGTTAGTCATATCTATAAAGCAACTCAGCCAGTTGAAGATTTAAGTAGTCTTCAGATGACCTAAAGATGCTTGAAAAGAATCTTCTTAGAATTCCAGTGACCCACGCTACTTGTGCTCACTCCTAGCAGCACAACTAACCTTTTAAATATAGTTCTTTCTACATAAAATAAAATAAATCCATAAGACACTTCTAAAAATAATTCTCCACTGTAATTCCCTCCTCTTGCATCTGGGCACAGATGTCATATTTCCTCTACAAAGCTTCCTTTTATGTTGCAAGAGTAAGCATCTCAATTTAAAGCTGAACCAGAACAATCTAGAGCTACCAACTCCTTCACAGGAAGTATTTTTTTTGTACTTTACATAATGGTCTGACTGCAATTGGACATCCTTATATCAGAATTGTGCAATACGTTTAACTAGGAAATAGAGCACTTAGGGTTTTTGAAGTTCTGCCTCCTCTCCCCGACTCATTGCTGCTAACATGTGGCCTTCCACAGAAGGGTCGGTGAGATAGATCTGGGCTAACCAGAGATAAAGAGTATGAACACAGGAAATGAGGGGCTAGAAGATGAAAGCACGTGTCAGGTCATTCAGGAATATGAAACTTGTCATCTGAGAAAACTGGCAAACTGTTCTAATGGTGAAATAAACATACAAATTAATAAGATACAGTTAGTCACTTCCACTTTTCCCCTTCCATTACTGGTGTTCTGGCACACAGCCATATATAATCTGCAATAATCTGTCACTATGGGGCACCACCCATTTCCTCTGCCCCACCCTCAGCTGAGCTGTGACCAGGACACTTCTGGATGGCCAATGTAACCTTCAGACCATCAAAAAAGGCCAACTTTTCCTTTCCAATGTGACCTGAAATTCACATCAGCCACACTTAGAAGTCTTTAAACATTCAAAAGTCTTAAGAAAGAAATAAGCAATATGTCATATTTCAAAATGTTTTCAATCATCTGAAACTTTTAATTTCCTTTGTTAATACATTAGATAAAATACTCCACCACACAGGGACTATGCCCTCAAAATTTCTTGAATGAAAGCTGTATCGGTACACAATTCTAAGACTGAATTTACACATAAAACATGTACAAAATTAAGGATTTGTCCAGGGTTACAGATCAGTGTATACATTTTATTTAAAACTTAGTCTGATGGCCTCATGAAGTTGGTAAACCAAAATCAAGTTAAAACAAAACCACTTTGAGTAGCTTTACTGATTTATAAAATGTTTCACATTGACTTTTTTTAATATGCAAATTGTGAGTTGTCACATTAAAAAATATCTACTTGTTTACTTCATCAAATTATATTTATGGACTACAGTGGTCTCAATTATTAATTACCTCATAGTTAAGATATTTTGTCTTCATATTTCTCTAGGTAACTAACACTATTTACAAACATGAGAAACCATAGTCGATGTGACCAAATGCTCTGATCTTGCCTCTAAATTCAGTTTTTATATTGTTTTCTGTTTCTGTGAAAGAAGTAAAATAGGAAGAGTGATATTTTTATGGAGCTCTGAGATAAACAGAGTGCTGTTTTGAGTAGCTTCATTTTCAAAAACTGCTTTAAAGTAATACAACACATTAGCATATATTGCATCCATCCTTAATAAAGATGACCTCTAGTAAATTTAAACCTTTTTTAAATAAAAGACTCATATGCTAAGATTTTGATGTTTACCCCCTCAAAAAAATCAAACAAAGGCCCAATTAAAAAATGACCTTAATGTTTATTTGTAGAATATCAAACTACAAATTAAAATAAATAGAGCATATGAATGCAATGGCTTTTGGGGTTGATGGTTTGCTGCTGAATTTTGAGTTAAGGCCATAAATATTCACATAAAATTCAACAGGGAGTTTAAGTTACTCTTGTGCATTAACACTGGTAAGAATGGAGCCATTTCCAATAAGATATTTAATGCAAACTAGAAGACCATGCAAAGAACATGTGAAATGCAGGTGTCAGTCTTTCCAATCCAACAGACCATAGTCCCTAAACATACTTTATGTGCCACAGCAATTGGTAAATTGGCCCTTAAGATGGCTTAAAAAAAAAAAAAGGTGTCTCTTACTTAGAGGAAAGATGAAACTGAAGACAATTTCACTTAAAAAAATACCACTAGGCTATCAAGGACTTTCATCCCCAGAAAGGAAGTTATTACAGACACCTAAGTTTTATAAGCGAGATTCAAACACAGGACTTCCTGATCGGACAATTGACATCACAAACACTTTCTACGGCTTTACATGCTGATCCTTGGGAAAGAATTTTCTAAAAATGTTTCCAAGACTTCCCCTATACCCCTACAAAAGAGAAAAACCACACTCAGGCTACACAAATCTTAGGTAAAAAACAAAGATATTCTGATCATGCCTACTATTATGGAGGTAACGTGTAAATATTAGAGCAGGTTACTGCTGTCAATAATCCTTTCAGCTCAGGTTTTAATGTTTTATGCACTCTCTCCCACCCAGCATGCTCCAGTAAGATTTCATGGGACAAAGCATTGGACAGGAGGAAGAGAAAGGACTACTTACCAACTCCTCGATAATGTAGGAAAGATGAATAACCATTCACATTTTAAATTCCAAATTAAGTGCCCTTTTAAGCGTGTATAAAGAAGAATCTTCAAGAAGCCTGGTATGATCCCAACAAGGAACTGCAGAGACAGCAGAATGCTCTGGGTGCCCCACTCTGCTATCACTCAGCAGGCTGAGGTATTTCCTGTTCCCTCCCATTGGTTCTTACAGGTGCTTGAGCCAATGGGTGGTGCCAATCTACTCTTCCGCTTGTATGTAATCCACAAAGGGAGATTTAAAATGTCATAGAATTTCAGGACAGGACCATCTTGAGCTAATACTACGAGCCGTCCAAACTAGGTTGATTATGAAATGACGATAATCATCTTGTTAAAGCATTGTAATTATTATCATATTAAACCTAAAAGGGCTTTTCCAGTCAGGTCTGGTGCTGAGATCTGTAGTCCCAGCACTTGAGAGGCTGACATTAGGAGGACTGACTTTGAGGGCAACCTAAGCTGCACAGCAAGACTCAGTTAAAAAAAAAAAAAAAAAAGCAAGCCAGGCGCCAGTGGCTCATGCCTGTAATCCTAGCTACTCAGGAGGCTGAGACCTGAGGATCACGGTTCAACGCCAGTCCGGGCAGAAAAGTCCTTGAGACTCTGATCTCCAATAAACCACTAGAAAACTGGAAGTAGCACTGTGGCTCAAGAGGTAGAACACTTGGCTTGAGTTGAAGAGTGCAGGGACAGCACCCAGGCCCAGAGTTCAAGCCGCACGACTGACAAAAACAAACAAAAAAAACCCCAAAACCCAAGCCAACAAACAAGCAAAAACAAATAACAAGGGCTGGGAAGGTGGCTCATTGGTAAAGTGCTTGCCTTGCCATACATGAGGCCCTGAGTTCCTTCTTCAGCACCACAAAAACAGAAAAAACTGGAAGTAGCGCTGTGGCTCAAGTGGTAGCCTTGAATTCAAGAGCTGAGGGACAGTGCCCAAGCCCAGAGTTCAGACCCCACGACTGGAAAACAAACAAACAAAAAAATTAAAAACAAATAACAAACCTCTTTTTCTAGAACCCAGTACACAAAAGTAAGGATTCTTTAAAAATATATTTTTAAAATGTTTTCCTAACATTTCAAACAAGCATGTTGGAGGCAATGGCATAGGGTCCAGCAGGAAAAGGAAAAACTTCTCACCATGAGTCACCAGTGACTAAGTTATTTTAATTTAGGCTTAAAGCACATTCCATACCCATATAGAAAAATGTACATGCAGAAAAATGATAGTAACCTCAGAAACCAGAGCTGACCAATTTTCAGGATCAATATCAGTATCTAAGAAAATCAGGTACGGCAGGGCGCCAGTGGCTCACACCTAATCCTAGCTAATCAGGAGGCTGAGATCTGAGGATCACAGTTTAAAGCCAGCCCGGACAGGAAACTCCCCGAGAGAGACTCTTATCTCCAATAAACCACTAGAAAACCGGAAGTGGCGCTGTGGCTCAAGCGGTAGAGCACTCGCCTTGAGCTGAAGACGCAGAGACAGCGCCCAAGCCCAGAGTTCAAGCCCCATGACCGAACAAAAAAAAAAAGAAAAGAAAAAGAAAATCAGGTGGTTTTTTCTTGTTGTTTTAAAACAGGGATAATGCTCTTGTCCATAATTTTCCATATTGTTATTTTGATGTTACCAGTGTTCAGTGCCTAAGGCAACATCAACAGACATCCATCCATTAGTCTGTGTGATAATAAACAGTTTTCACAGGTTTTAGCCAGACTGAGACACAGACATCTCAGGTATATGGTGTGAAATGGTAGGAATGGATTTTATTTGCATTCAACAGCAACAGAAATACTAAATTCAGGACTGTTTAAAGAAGAATGAAAAACCCAGAGAGCAACATATACAGATAAAATCTACCATTTTAAGCTACACTTTACTATACTTCCTTATGTTTAAAATAATACTCAGGAGGATCTGGCTGAGATCTAGAAGATGGAGGTTCAAAGCCAGCCCAAGCAGAAAAATCTTTGAGACTCTATCTCCAATTAACCCACAAAAACCTGGGCTAGAGTGGGATGCCAGAGGTTCACACCTGTAATCCTAGCTACTCAGGAGGCTGATATCTGAGGATGGTGGTTTAAAGCCAGCCTGGGCAGAAAAGTCCATGACACTCATATCTCCAATTAATCATAGAAACAGCCAGAAGTGGCACTATGGCTCAAGTGGTAGAGCCCAGGGACAGTGCCCAAGGTTTAGAGTTCAAGCCCCAGGGCTGGCATTATAAAAACTGGGCTGGAGGCATGGCTAAAGTGGTAGATAAATCCTTAGTACAATAAAAAAGTTTACATATACTAACTATAATAACATTACAAACATATATTATTATTATTTTTGGGGGGTCCGATTGTGGGGCCTGAACTCTGGGCCTGGGCGCTGTCCCTCAGCTCTTCAGCTCAAGGCGAGCGCTCTACCACTTGAGCCACAGCACCACTTCCGGTTTTTTTCTTTTTGCTTATGTGCTGCTGAGGAATCGAACCCAGGGCCTCAGGCATGCAAGGCAAGCGCTTTATCACTGAGCCACCTTCCCAGCCCTATAAACATATATTAATCTATCAGGTTTACCAACTGTTAGGGTCAGAAGTGAATTCTCCCCTTAGGAATTACCCCTGCTGTCTTCATTGGCAGCAATAATTATCTGTATAATTACACTTAAATATTATTTGAGCCTAAAATAAGTCCTTAAATTTAATACAATTCAATAATTAGGATGTTAGTTAAAAGGCACTTTGTGGAGCTGGAAAGCGCTCGCCTTGAGCTGAAGAGCTGAGGGACAGCGCCCAGGCCCAAAGTTCAGGCCCCACGACCAGACCCCCCCCCCCCAAAAAAAAAGGCACTTTGTTAGAGGCATCAGACACCATCCTTTTGAAATCAAGAAAATGGATGTCAGGGCTGGAAATATGGCTTAGTGCTAGAGTGCTTGCCTAGCATGCATGAAGCCCTAGGTTCGGTTCCTTAGTACCACATAAACAGAAAAAGCCGGAAGTGGTGTTGTAGCTCAAGTGGTAGAGTGCTAGCCTTGAGCAAAAGAAACTCAGGGACTGAGCTTTAGGCCCTGAGTTCAAGCCCCTGAATTCAAGCACCAGAACTGGCAAAAAAAAAGAAAAAGAAAAAGAAAAAAGATGGATGTCAGTAAGCATGACACAAGGACAAACCCTATAATTTAACATCAAAGAATATTATGTAATAAGAAAAAGTACAGAATTTAGGGAATGTAAAAGAGAGAGAAACAAGGAGGATGATCAGAAATGACCTCATGAAAGATAACACTGTAGCTCAGTAGTAAGATGCTTGCCTGGATATTTCCATCCCAAGCACTGGAAAGAAAAAAAATCTACAAAATGAGGAACAGGGGTATGTAGGCAAGAGAAAGAGCAGGAACAAGACCAGAGGGTGGCAAAGCAGGAAGAAGTTGGCTAGTATGCAGGCCAGTCTGATGGGGCAAAGACTGTCTTTGTGGGTACAAATCAGGTGATAAAACCTAAGAACAGGTTGATAAATCTGTACTCAGGTCAGTAAGCCAAGTTAGAGGTTTTGAACTTGCATACAAAATCAGAATGTCCTCTAGGCAGAGCAAAAGACTAACAGTGTGTGGCATCTCAGAAGGACAAAACCAGTGAATGGAAAATTGACATAGGAGTCATTCCTGAGAACTTTATTAAGATCCTCAAAGCCAGACACTGGTGGCTCAGGCCACCTAGATAACTCAGGAGGATTGAGATTTGAAGCCAGTATAGATATAAAAAGTCATTAAGACTCTTATCTCCAATTAAGCAAAAATCCAAAAAGCTGGAAGTGGAGGTGTGGTTCAAGTGGTAGAGTGCCAGTCTTGAGTGAAAAAACTAAGGTTCTGAGTTCAAGTCCCAGTACCAGCACAATAAAAAACAAACAAACATGCATTGTACATACTGGCTCTGAAGTAAAAGATGGTAATGTGCATGCTCAGTTCCCAAGAGGAGAATTTTACTCCCCAGGGATAGATGGCAACCCCTTTTGAGTTCTCATAGCTTGGTAAGTATGCTATAGGCATCTAGTGAATCATCAAGACCAGAGAATGTCACTACCTTATGATGCAGAAGACAGCCCTGCACAAAGAATTCTGAGGTCCCTAAGTATCAAGAGAGCCATAGCTGAGAAACCCTAAGAAACTGGAGCTGTCCTCCCAGACTCTGAATCCAGAGCCTTCCACTTATGGTCTGCATGACCCTGGCAAAGTCAGTCAGTTCTCTCAGAGGATGAAAATATTAAGAATATCTGAAGCAAGGCATGATAGCTCACATCTGTAATCCTAACTTCTCAGGAGACTGAGATCTGAGGATCAAAGCCACACAGAGCAGGTAAGTGTGAAAGGCTTATCTCCAATTAACCAACAATAAGCCAGAAATTGAGGTGTGACTCAAGTTCTAAAGCACCAGTCTTGAACTGAAAAAGGTAAGGGAGAGCAAGAGGGCCTGAGTTCAAATCCAGTTCCAGAAGGAAGGAAGGAAGGAAGGATTGTGTCTTGATTAGTGTCATCTATTGTAATAGGTAAATGTATTTGAATTGTCATTATTCTGGATCACTCTGGTTATAAGCCAGTGTCATTAGACAGAAAATGAGACGCATAAAATTAAATAATTTTTTTCTTTTTGTCTGAAACCAGGACTAGAACTCTATCTGACGCTTCCCCTCATTAGCTGGGGCTCTACCAACTGGGCCATGCCTCTAAACCCTAAATTGCTTTTTATTCAGCCCACAATCTCACCCTAATTAATGTAGAATTACAGACAGGCCATAAATAAATATCATGTATTTCTTTCTCTAAGCTGAATCTAAGACATAGTAACAGACTTCTAACAAAGAAATCAATGAAATGCGTGTGTAGGCTAAACAATTACAAACTAAACTCGATGCTGAAATACCACTGTGCAATCTCTCACAACTCAAAAAAAAAAAAAAACACAAAAAACTATTGTGATTGGCAGGAATCAAACACTGAGGAACTGAAAGATATTTTCTCTTTGAAGGGTCACAAAACATTTTTTAGATGGAATATTTCTTGCTTTCTCTCTCACCTCCTTCCACTCCCTTTCTTTGTGTCTTTCTTGTGTCTGTATGTTTACTTTTGGGGAAG